GAGATCATAATGTTGATTGTAAAAACTTAATGCATGTTGTCTGATTTAACAGGTAGTTTTTTATCCTGTCTGAAATGATCTAAAAATTTGACTTTCCTATTCCTGAGCAAAGAAAGCATATCATTGTTAGGTGGTCTAAGCATCTTGTTGGAATACTTGTAGAAAAGTCTAGGTGAATCTTTCTAACTTTTTTACTTTCTGTTGGAGCTATAAAATAAGTTGGTTCTGTGTTTCAACTTGTTGTAGTTAGGCAACTTGTGGTTGCAAAAGGTCTGGTTCTAGTAGGGTTGCATTGGTTTCATTAGTCAAGAAGTCTACTGGTTCTAGTGTAAAAGGTTTGTAGATAGGTACTAGTAAAGGAGGACAGTCTTGATAATATTCTTGGTAGGCATTTAACTTATCTTGGTGCTTAACATGTAAGCATTTTTTGCAAAGGTCAACAGAAGTACTAAACTGTCGATAAAGGTTAGCAATAGCAAGCCAATAGTTAAATTTTAAATGACTAATATCAAAAGACTCAGCCAAAGTTTGTTGAAGAAGTTGCTCTTCTTCTTTATCAAGAACAGCTTGTTCAGCTCATAAGATAAGGTCCATTTCTTCATATGTCCATGGTCAATTTATTTAGTCATTTATTTGGGGTTTTAATGCTTTAATAATATTTAGTAAAACAGAAGATACAAGTCTGGTTCATTTCATACTGAGATCTAGCACTTCTGATTGACTCAGTATAGTGTCTGATTTAGGTTCACAGGTTATAATTAGGGTTGTAAAAGATATCTGTACTGGCTTTGTAAGCATATAAATGTTCAAGTTCACAAAACCATAGTTCTTTTGTAATATTTTCTAAATTATGCATCTTGTTTCTGGGTTCTATATGTTTGCATAATTTACATTCAACCAAGGTTTTATATTTATCACCTTAGATATAGTAGTACTGGCTTCTAAGGTCATCACAATTAAGACTTTGATAGGAGTCAGTATAGCAACCTTTACAAACAAGAACTTTATCTAATTCTTACAGGGTTTCTGATCTTTGAGAGTTCTTGCAATAGCAGCAATGATGAGTATGATAATTGTTATGATAGTACTGTCTTTGGGCTTCAACTTTATTAGGATTGCATCCACATTAGTAAGTCTGATTCTGATGCTTAAGAGGAGCTAAGAGACAATCAACAGCAATGTGTCCTATTGAGTTGCATTCATGACAAATATTTTCTAAACATTGTTAATAAAGATGTTTAGAGCTTTGGCAATTCTTACAAGTTTTTTTTTGAGAGGCTTGGAGTTGGCAATAAACAGCAATATGTTCTTTATAATGACATTAGTTGCAAGTATTTTGAGGGCAGTTAGCAAAGAGGTGATTAGAGAATTTACAGTTGCCATATACATAAGATAAGGTAGCTTGGATTCATTGTCAAGATTGGTAAATGGTCCATCCTTCATTGTCTGTTTCTAAAGTAAGTTAAGCAGTGTATGCTTCATAAGGAGTAAGGAATTCTTGCTCATAGAAGTTGAGCTTTTTTGGGTCTGTTACTGTTGGTTGGACAGGTAAGACATGATTACTTTTATAGATTGTTGGTACTGAGATCTTTTTTGTTATTCCACTTGAATAAATAACAACTATTCTTCTAATTATAACTGGCATTACTTTCTTGAACTTGTTATTATTAAGAAGAAGAGAATAAGTGATAGCAGAAACAATTTCAACAGTGATTGGGATAGTTATTTCTTTAATTTTTACTGGGAGATCCTTAATAATTCCTAGAGGATGTGCAGAAGTATCAGTTGCTATAACAATTAGGCTAGTAAAGGCTTATTTAATTTTGAGTTCTAATTCTTTAAGAGTCTGATGAGCAATCATACTAATAGCAGCACTACTATTGATGATAGCTTGGTAGGGTCTGTTTCTGAGTTGAATGTTATATTTTACAGAAGTAGTATGAGTAGGTAATTGAACTAGATTAGCATTTTTAGCTTCTTCATACAGATATACAGACATAGCTGTATAAATAGAAGGGTTGTCAAAGAATTGTTCCTATTTCTTTGGCATTGTAATAGAAAAAGTAGAAAAAGAATCTTTGTGGCCAAGGTAGTTAACATCTTATAATAGGATGAAAATGAGCAAAAACTAGTTTTTCTTTTATCACTGTTATAGAAGTTGGAGTATCTGCTTCTTTCTTTAGAGTTTCCTCTTTTTCTAGAAGGATTTCAATAATAAGATCTGTTACTACTTTGAGAATGAGACCTTTGGTTGCATCTATTATTTCTTCTATAGTTATCTCTTTAATTGAATCATTGTTCAGCTTGTCTGGTTCTATATTTAGCAATAAAATGTTCTGTATATCCATAATAATAACAATAGTGTAAGTCTTTGGCTTAAGGTCTGTTAGTATTAGAAGTAGCTGTATAGTTAGCAGATTGAGGTTAAGGTAGTTGTTGTTGCTATGCTAAGTTAATACTAAGTTTGGCAATTTGGTCTGTTAGCTGTTTAATAGCTTAGTCTGTTTCTGTAGAAGTGCTAGCAGCCATTATATATTCAGTTTTTCATTGTTTTGCAATAGTAATAGCAGCATTTAGGTTTGCAGGTTTGCTAGCTTGCACATTGATAGAAAATTCAGAATATAGTTCTTGAATAAATAATTGTTTGGTGAAGTCAGTAGAAAAAGCATGACCAGGGTCAACTCATCTTTTCAATTGTCTAAAATGATTAACATAGGCATCTACTATGTCTGAGTCTTATTTGATATCAAAAGGCTGTTTCTGCCAAATAGCTTTTTGTTTAGGCATGTAGAAATAAAGTCTAAAAAGATGTTTAAAGCTTCTGTTTTGGTTGGTATTATTATTAAAAGCATTTGAGACAGGGTTAAGACTTAGCTACCAATTTAATGCAATTCCTTTTAAATATATGAAGGTAAGTTCTAATTTTTAAGCAGCATCCTACTTGTTAGTAGTAGCAGCTCTTTGAAAATTTTTAAGTCATTGTTTTGAGTCTTGGGTTTTATTATCATAAAAGAAGTCAGCTTTTATAAGAGCTTTTTCACTTTTATTTAGAGCATTAGTAAGGTTAGCCATAGCTTGTGAAGTTCTTATAAAGCCTGTTGTGCCATGTTATCAAGTAGTCAGGAAGGTTATTAAGAATAGATAAAAGTAAAGGAAGTAGTTGAAGTTAAGGTTGAATAGGTTGATGTTGAACAGTAATAGGTTGAAGTAGAGAAATAGCAAGTTGAGGTGAAGGTGAAGAAGAAGAACTATCTTTAAGAGTTTGTTAAGGTGAGTTAGTAGGAGTATGATTTGAGCTAAAGGTTTCTATAAGGTCTATAGAAGCAATAATATATTCTTCTGTTTTTAAATTGTCAGTAAGTAATAAAAGGATTTGTAGAGTTCAATTAGGAGTGTAATGACTTTTAGAGAGCTTAGTAGATATAACTAATTCACTATAAGGAACTAAGCTATCTTTTGGATTGTGTAAAAAAGAAATATTATTGGTAAAAGTAATATTTGTAATAGGTGGTAGGATAGGACTTTCTAAATTTTCAAGATGTTAACTAAATTCTTCTGGTTCTTTAAAACTAAAACTTAGAAGAGCATCGAGATGAAGATCAAAAGTGTTTTGGTATTCAAAAAGTAAGGTAAAAAGTTTAAAGAGGTTGATATATCTTCTAACTAGAATTAAAGCAATTGTTCTAAAATTATCAATGTCTTGTTGTTATCAAAAACTAAAAATAATATTTCTAATGCAAAGACAAATTGTAATTCAGTTTGAATATAAGGTAATAAGAATAATAAAGTTGTTCTAAATTTGGAAAGAATAATGTTGAGCTGCAAAGTTGGTTTGGTACTAAGTCCAAAATTGTCCAAAATCTGCATGAGAGCTAGTATATCGAGGAAAGAAACACTGGAGACAAAATAAATCTGGATGCTGTGCTTGGAGTACATCTACAGCAAGGTGAGATTCAGTTAGATGTGCTTGTTAATAGTTTTGGATGTTCTTATTGTAGAGTTCAGCAGCAGTATAAACTATAAAAGAAGAGGTGTATTTACATCTGAAGCTTTGCTAAGATAACTAATATTATAATTTTCTATACAAGGTACCTTCCTTGATCAGTACTCTTCTTGATTCATATCAGATATGTTTCAAGGTCATTGGATGTAGTATATTGTAAGATACTCGAATACAAATCAATAATGTGATTTTTATTGAAAATTTTTTTTTTCAATTAGAATATAAATTTGCAACTTATCATTATATGAAGTGTACAATAACTAGTGACAGCACTTTAAGTCAATTTGTTGTACTTAAATTGGTTCATAAATCAAAAAATAGCTACAAGAATCTTAACTACTAATAATCAACTTGGTTCTGAAGCAGAAAAATGTTGGCAGAAACTCTGTGTATAAATACTACCTTGGTCTTGGATCTTTTCTATAATCAACTTAGTTCTTTAGGATGAGAGGTATGAGTAGAGACCTTTTACATAAATACTACGATTTATTTAAAGATTTAATAACATATTGGTGGTAATATATTTCAAAATAATATATATAATTCTTAGATCAGATACATAGTACTAGAAGTTTTATAAGGAAAAACACACATAAAGCATCAGATATTTATTCTTTAGAAAATGACATCTTGCTAAGTAAACCTTTTGAAAAAATTTTTGAATAAGACCCAGAAAAGTGATTACAGATCAAGGTTAGACAAGTAAAATCATATATTATAAAAGATCAGATGATAAGTTTATTTAAACTTTAAAATCTGCTATTACAAGTTATTCAACCCATTGAGTCTTAAAAATTTCTACCTTATTCTGATTATAATAATGTTCAAATTCTTCTTGAACTAAAAAATTTTGTGGCAAGAAGTCTTGTGATAAGAGGTATGATTAGGATAAAGAGTTTTGCTAGGACAAAAAATATTGTTTAGACAAAAAGTTAGATAGAAAATCTTGCTAAAAGTGTTGTTAAGGTAAAAGGTTAAATAGAAAATCTTGTTTGAGCTAAAAGTGTTATTGAGATGAGAGATTATATTGGTATGAAAAGTGCTGTTGGAGATTGTAAAGTAAAGAAATATTTTGAAGTGGAGGTGTTTATGTTGGGATGGAAAATATTGTTGAGGTAGAAGTTCTTGTTGAAGTTCATCTCATTGAAATAAAAAAGTTTGTTGAAGTGAAAAGTTTTGTTAATTAAAATTATATCAAATTTTTACAATTAATAAAAATATATTTATTGTTTTTATTGTTTTTGACATGATCATAATCAAAAATTAAATTTTCTTCTGATTTGTTAGTTGCAATTGAAATACCACAGCATTTAAAGGAATGTTGAATTAGCCTAGTATCAATAGTGTCCTATGCATGCTTTATCCATTCTGCAATAAGATTATATAGGGGATGTTTAATTTAACCATTTTTAGTTAGTTGTCTTACTTCATATGCCATCCATTCATTATATATATGTTTAATCTATTAACAAAAAAAGGGTTATATATTATAAGGTACTTCATAATACCCTAATTATGCTAAAAAAAAAAAAACACCTTTGCCTTAAAAGGCTTGTTAATTGATACATCAAGTGATTAAAGTTTTGATGTTAAACCTTTAGGAATAATTGCAATATTAGTATTTTTCTCTGACAGCTTATTTTTAACAGAAGGAACCAAATGACCCTAAAAAGAATTTATTACTAATAGTGATTATGAATTCTCAGAACTTGGTATATGATTTTGCTAAATTTTTTCTATCCAAAAATTCATTTCCATTTTATTTATTCATTCTTTCTCATTAGCTTTAATAATTACACCTTGTGAAAACTCAAGATGCAGAACATTTTTTAATTTAAAAATAATCATTAATGATAACTTTCTATCATTTGCCATACATGCAAGTACAACAGTAAAGCAGGATTTTTGTAACCACAAGTTCTAATACTAATAGTTTTGTTTCCTTTAGTATCAATTGTAATATTACTCAGCATATCAAAAGCAAGAGGAGTTTCATCCATATTGCCTATTAATGATAATAGATAATCATATTGAATACGATGATATTGAACAAAATTTAAAAATACTTGTTGCTGTGTTTCTAATTCTGCAGGCAATTTTTGTGCAACTGTTGTTTTATGATGGTTACTAAAATTATATCATCATAAAAAACCATCAAGACATTTACTACTCCACTTAAACTTATTAATATTAGAATATTGAAGAATATATTTTGGTGACTTTGCTAATACTATAGCTTTAGTTTACATCATAATATAACTAACTTGTTTCAAATTAGCACATAAAGCTTGAATCTATTCTGCAAGTTCTGCTTCAAGCTTAGGATAATTTGGTTGAGAACTACTATTAAGATACTTAATATGAAGCTAAGCTAATAATAACTCTTGCTGCTTATTTCTCCAATCTTGAATTTGCTTAGATTGAATTTCAAATTTATTAGCAGTTCTACGTATAGTAGCTCCAGAAACATTTTTAAGATAAGAAATTATAAAAAGCTTTTTCTAGACTGTCCACTGTCGAGTTTTTTTTTTTTTAAGTCTAGTTGCAAAAATATTTTTCAAGTGTACTATAATCAAATATTAAGTTTTTGTAAAGTTTTTATTTTAGTAGTGTACAAAAGAAATACAACTTAAAAAAAGCTTATAAATAAAGTTTTATAAACTTATATACTGTATTTACATTTTACAAAAAAAAAAAAAACAACTATGAAAAAATTTTTACAAAAAAAAAATTTTTACAAAAAAAAAAAATTCATGAAAAATTTTATAAAAAATATATATGCTTAACCCCCTTTCATAATTCATATTACTGGTAGTTATCATATTATAAAACCTTAAAACTATATTGACATATAATATAAAAAAACATAGCTTATAAAACATAAAACAAGAATACAAAACATAAAGCAAGAACCAAAATATCTATCATTACTGGCATATCAATACTGTATATTAAGATCATTTCTTAGCATTAGAGATTGGAATCATCTAAAATTTTTCTTAATCATTTAATCATTTAACTGTTTAATTTGGCTGGCATCAAAGGAATTCTGGTCTATGACCAGCATAATTTTGCCTAGAACTATGGAACAAGTTTTAAATAATTAAACAGTTTTAATCCTTACTTAACATACCCTTCTTATAACAGCATAGTGGTTTTTAAATCCGATTGGTCAATTACTGAAATGTTAATTACATATATGATGCATATATCATCTGTCTTTAAACAAATTGTTTGCTATGAAAATGAATTGTACAGGGGAACTGAATTCATATTCAAAAACTACACCTTTTGCTTTGTATACTGTCAAAATAATCATGAAAATGAAGAAATAATCATGAGAGTTAGCTATAGAGCATTTTTTTTTATCCAGTTGTTATCTATACTATATAAGAATCTCTAAAACAAAAGAAAATAGCTTTTTTTTTTTTTGTAGTTGAATCTCTAGTAAGTGAGTTTGTTCTCAAGATTAATTGTATGTTTAGATTATATTTATTAGACAAAATCTGCTATTATAATATTGATAAAAATCAAAACTAGGTTTATATTAATTCTAATAAATAAAACTAAAAAATTTGTCAAAACTATTAAAGATAAGTTTGAGTTTTGCTTACTTTTACTTGCAATTGTTTATTATTTCTTTTAATTTATTTACAGTAAATTAATTTAATAATTTTTTGTTATTATTTATTAACAATTTAGTTTTGATATGAGTTCTTTATAAACATTTCTAATAGTCTGTTAAAAAAATTTAAGATTTCGATGTTTTTTTAAAATGTAATTAAATTATATATATGATAATGCCTCTTAGACCAAAGTAATAAATTATTATAATTATTAAAATTTAAATAAATGTATCTTTTATTCAATTAATGCTGTCATGTTTTTGTGAAATACATTGAGTTCATTTTTGTGAAATATTTTACTTTGGATTATAATCTACTAGCCAATTAGATCTTGTAAAATCATAAAATGATCTATAAAAATTAGCCAATCAGAATGAAAGCCCACTATGCTCCTTACAATATACCTCCCAAATAATGTATCCTCTACTATACAACATATCTGGAGGGTACAAATCAAATTTTTATTATATGAAATTTAACATACCTGGATACCTTGTATGAAAAATTATAGTACTTATTCAGGTCTTTTGTCAGGATAACTAATACTTATCTAAGTCTCTTGCCAGAATAACTAATACTTGTTCAGGTTTCTTGTCAGAATAACTTTTTCAATACATCTGGAAATGTTTCATTTAGAGTGACTTGTTTTTCTCTAAAAATTTAATTTTATTGCCAAAAAGCACCAAATTTTATAGATGAAAGCTTTCTTAATTTTTACTCTATAATAACAACATGATATAAGGAATTCTTTACAGATATATGCAGTGTTCAAGAGAAAAGTATAACTTCTGTTAAATATTGTCAAGAAACTATACCCTTCTCTGAGGCAGTTCGAAAAAGGTAATGCAATACTAATAACATTACTTTATTTTACTAAAAAGAAATAAACCTTGCCTATAGAAATTACTTTAGAGGAGAAGTATCAATATAGTTTATAGTCAAAAGCTGTTTATTAAAGTAATAACAAGAAGGACTATTCTTAGATTTCTGTTTCTAAAGAATTCTAAGATGTGTTTTCAATATTAAAGGGAAGAGAATGTCTGTTGCTTAATTACACTTAGGAAATTTAGCAAAGTTTATATATCTGTAAGCTAAGCAACTAAGCAGCCAAGCAACTAAGTGATTAAATAACTAATGATTAATAATTAATAAGTGACTAATTACTAAGTGAATAAGTGACTAAGTAGCTAAGTGACTAAGTGACTAATTAACTAAGCAATTACTAATCAACCAAAAAGTTCTAGCAACCACTAGTAATAATAATAATAATACAATAATAAAATAACTAATACTAAATAATAACAAAGTAAAATAATAATAAGTAATAATAAAAACTAATAATAATAAAATAATAATAATTTGTTCTATAACAATAGTTTGCTTATTATATATAATAAAAAATAAAGTTAATAATAATAAGAAATATGATAACTTAATAAAGCATATAAGTTGTTAACTCTTAAATAGTAAATTATAAATTCAAAACTTACCAATAATAAAAATTTGAACAATTATTAGTATTATAACAAAATAAAATATTTGTAACTATAGTTGTATTAGTATACTAACAGGTTATAAAACATTTATATAACATTAATTATGCAAAGAGATGCAAACTGATACTAGATAGTGCAAATCTAAGATAAGTTTTTGTAATCATATAAATTTGTAAAATTAGAAAAACAAAAACCTATTTAAGAAAATCTGAGTAGAAAAATAATACAAGTTTTTAACAATATTATTGCAAAACTAAATCTAGAAAATAAATACTAATATAAAAAAACTATACAAATAAAAACCTTTAAGTAAAAGTACTATCAACTAAGCTATTGAAATTAGACTAAAAAAAAAAAATACTAAGTCAGACTTAATATACTAAAACAGATTACAGTTTACTAAACTATCTAAATTAGAAGTTTGAAAACAAAACAAAAGTATACTATAAATACTAAAAATATACTATAAAGTTGAAATTAAGATTTAAGTAAATCTTACAAGAGCTAGTCTTGTTAATAAGAACTATAAAATAAATAGATTAGTTAACAAAAGGATACTCAAAGCTTTACAGTTAAATAATATGCTTTGAAATAAAAATGACTTGACAAATATACTTAAAAAAAAGCTATATATTGAATTAAATAGTTCTTAAATATATAGAAGCTTTGGTATTACTTGTTTAGCATAATACAAAACCTGAGTATTTAAATAAATAATCTTCTAGCAAATTACAGATATAGCAGCTAGTATAAAACCTTTAGGCAAACTATTTACCAAAAGTTTTACGGATAGATAGTTATATATTTATTTTTGTACAAGTTATATATATATATAATTAAAAACACAAATAAAATTAGTAGTTATTATTAATATTAGCCTTAATTAAAGCAAAAAAAAGCTAATAGTAATTGTTTATAAAATATACAAATTTAATACTTTACTAGAAGAATACTTTAAAATAAATGAATTATTTTTAGAAAATTTTAAAGCTCTATATTTAAATATAAAATTATTTTTAATTACAAATAAAAAAGAACTATAAAATTTTAAATATTATAAAAAAATCTATTACTATTTTATAATTTTAACAAAATTCTAGACAAGTATTTTAACTTATTAAATTTGAGTCAAATTTATTTACAATGTATTATAAATTGAATAAAAAAATCAAATATATTTTCTTTTTTAATTAACAAGATCTAACTACAATAATTAAAAAATAATTAAGATAATTAGAGAATATTATACATTTAAAGATTTATTAATAATTATATCAAATACAAACTTAAGATATTTAAAATATAACTAAAATTAAAACTAAAAAAGTTCATATATCTAACTAAATAGTTAAAATTTATTACAAAGATTATACTAATATATATTTAGTATTTTTTTAGATCTATAAATAATAACAACTAATTTAAAGAAAAAGTTTAGATTGTTAGAAAATTCAAAAAAATAAAAGAATTTAATATTATAATATTTATTAGAATATTAAACAACTAGTTGATACATCTTAACTGCTAAGAGAGTTATACTTTTTTTTATAAACTACTCAGTTTATAGATCAGTATTACAAATACAAATAATATAGTAAAAATACAAAATACAACTAACAACTAAATCAGAGTTGGGGTGAACTCTATAAGGGCATAGTAGTTTAATAGTATACCCTAACTACCAGTGTTGGTTTCAGCTATAGTGATACTGGATTAGCTGTAAGAATGAGATATAGAAGATCTGGAAGGTTTAGTACAAGGTCAAAGGTTCCTCATATAAGTGAACTGCTTTAAAAACTTAATGGCTATAGCATATTTTCATTGGCATTGGCTGGGGTCATTGGTAGGCAGAGGTAGGTAGATAAATACAGAAACTGAGTGTCTAAACAGAGAACCTACAAGCAGGTTCCAGGAATGGCAGCTAGTGTAGAACCTTTGGATGGACTACTTAAATCAGACAATGACTAAAGTTGTACAAGTGATTAGTTGTACACTCTTTCCATAGTTGCCCTCTGTAGTTGTAATGCAATTATTAGCCAAATATACTATCAGTAAAATTCTGAGTTACAAGTACTCACCTTAATATTAAAAAAAAAAAAACTAACAACTAAATCAAACCAAACCTTTTTAAAATATATAAAAAAATGTCTAAATTTTTAAAGAAAACCAAATTGAAACTACAAAAATTATCTTATCACTTATATAATAAAACTAAATTAAAACACTTCTAAAACCAATATAAGAAATCTTAACAGAAACATCAGTTTATATATAATTTCAATAAGAATAAGAATGCTACCAATATTACAAACAATAAAAAATTAAGTATTGACAAGACCAAAACTAATATAAAAAGAATTAAATTAATTGATATCTACCTATCTGCAAATACTATATATAATAAACCACATATTATAACCTGCAAAAAAGTTATTACTTTTTCTAAACTCAATATAAAGATAGTACAACTTATCCAATATAACAAAAAATTTAACTATAGTATAGTCATAAGCTAGGCAAGACTTTGGCCCCTTTTAACAAAGTTTGAATCATAGGTAAAGTAATCTAAGTCTTTAAATAATTTATATAATATATCTGTAAATTGATATTCTTATGTAATGATAAATCAATAAAGAAAACTGAGGCAAGGCTGCACTTTTTTTTAAAAAAAAAATCCGTTATGGTAAATATTAGCTATAATAATATATAATATAATATTATTATTTTTAAAATTTTAAAGTTTTCCGCTATAGCAAGGGATCCACTATAAAAAAACCAGTAATAACGAGAGCAGACTTTAAAAATTCGGGAAACTTACATACGTAATTTCTTATGTATTCAATATCTTAATCTTATGACAAATTTAGCTTTTAACTTATATTTAATATTAAATAGTGCTATTAAAATGAATTATAGACAAAACTTATCAAATACGTATATAGAGCATTATCCGATGTAAATTAATCCTATGGTCAATGATTTAATATGACGTAAATGAATGCTAAAAATTTTTTATACTTCGATCTACTAGAAGTGACAAAACACTATGCTATTGATACTTTATATATGATCTATGTATCTGCATCAAAAAAGTAACCTTAACCTTAACTCCGCTTTAGCTGATCCCGCAAATGGAAATCATTTAAGGACCGAAGGAATTTGATTGGCAAATTAATGGAATCAATATTGATCGGACCGATCAACCAATCAAAAATCCGGGTATTTAGTGTACTACATATGCGGAGATACAATTTGAAGTTTAAAAATATCAAATTTCAAATTATAGCTCCATAATCTACATAGTTTGATTATTTAAACAATTTACCCAATTACTCAACAAAAATTATATTTTATACTATATAATTTTAAAAAATTTTTAATAATGATAATAATTTTCGTTAAACTTATAGCCTTTTACTATGGATCAGCGTGTGATTGTTACATGAAAAAATGTATGATATACCGAACACACTACCATTAATGTCCTTCAGACAATAAATTTCTTAGCACGTATAACTGTAGTATTTTCTCCAATACGTATCAATTTTGTTTACTGCATCTATTTTGTTTGTAATGTTAGTATTAAACAATTTTATATACTGTATAATTATAAATTTTAATTACTAATGCGTATTTATCGTTATTCTTGGTTGACTAACTGATGATTTATACATAGGAATATAACACTCTAGTTCATAATTAACTTCCCTAATGCAGACATACTATAACCAGCACTTTGAATTCACATTCAAATCACTACGCTTGTGCGACTTTATACGGTAAGCATTTGCGCAGTAAATGATTAGCATTTATGGATGCAAGATTTTAAAATTCCGAAATGAATCTTCATATGGTTTCATTTCCGTTTAGATAGAAGGTCATGCTTCTACGCCTTATCATTAGAAAAAAAAATGGATGTACGTACAGTAATCTCCGTAATGTTATAAATTCCTAGAAAGTATTATGTACTCAGAAATATATCGCATCATTATAGCGATGTTTTTCGACCAAATTTGGAAAGCTGATAATGATCAAATGTCTGGTATATTGTTCATAGAGTTGTAGCTTTGTTCAGCTAACTGATAAATCAGTGCTAGCATTAAAATGAAAGCCCAGAATTCAGTGGTGCATAAATCAGCCTACACTAATTATGTATTTATTGAAAAAAAAATGACTTGGATCAATTTTTAAAATCAGAGATTTTTAACGTGAGCAGAGTTATGCATCGTAGAATTCTGGACATTTTAATCTGTACATGTTGACATACAGTATACTAATCCATGAACGAAACTTGTATCTGAGATAAGCTTGCGCAGAATTACTCTTAAGGTGAATGATTAAACTGACAAGATCTGCCTAAAAGACTAAAGATATAATAATGGAATACACAAGAAAGATAACAAAGAAAAAAAAGTACATATGAATAAAAATAGTCACATACATACAATTGCCCATTGTCAAACAGGAAAACCTATGCACAATTTAAACAGGTATTACTTTATTGTATTCCGTATTTTCGCGAGTATATACATATACGCACACGATCTTATGTGGGTCCTGCATGAATACAAAGACAACTCACATTCATTTATCATGTGACATTGCATAAGACCGGTGTAAGGCATTTTCACAAATTCCGAAACAAGATATGAAAATTAATCCTAATTAAGTGTGAAATTGAAGCCACTTGTAATACATAATGTAAAATGTACAGAATTATGTAGTATGAAATTCTTTTTATAGAATGTACTAATTTCTACACGAGAAGAGTCAAAAAATTTTTGAAAAGATTGAAACGGTTTACACGTTGGTAAAGCATTAAATAGGTACTATATCTACTACATTATATGTAGAATACATACACTATGCATTGAAAATCTGTCCAGGAACTAAATAGCATTTAATGTGATTTCACAAGTTCAAGCTATAAAGAATTATTGTTTTATATGTACGTATGCTTTGTACATCTAGATTATATTTAATTGATTAACATACTGTATTTATGACTTTCAATTATTATATAAATACTGATGTCAAAATTTTCATCGGCACTTACCGATTATTAAAAAACTAAAAATTTTCAATTAGAATATTTGTTTTAAGCAATGGAAATCGAAAATTCTCCAGTCAATCTTTCAACTATGACAACATCCATGACATCGACAGATAGTCTATTAAGTCTTTCAACTAGTAATGCTTTTACTGCACAACCTCAAAATGGAGCAGGAACTGATAGTTTGCTTGATAGTTCTTTGCAACTTGGTGCTGCTTATGAAAGACGTGATTCTGTCGATTCGAATTTTTCGTTAAGACCTAGTTTTAAACAAAAGTAAATTATATTGAAAATAGTGAAAATAATTTTAAAGTACTCTTGTTCCCGAGATTTTTTTTAATGCTGACTACAAATTAAAAAATTGGTTTATAAATAGATTTAGAGCACCACTTGTAAAAAATATGATTCACACAATCGCTTATCAACGATTAAATAACGCGTTATATGACAAAGATCAAGCTCCGGGTTGGGCTCACGAAATTTCTAGAGAAATTAAACAAAAATTGTTAGGTAAACTATTAATTATTAAATATCCACAAAATACCTTTACACATTCAATCTAAATAAAATATTTATTTATCTTTATTTATTTATTTATTTATTTATTTATTTATTTATTTATTCAGAATTAGAGCTAAAGCAATACAAATATGTCGTTAACGTAACGATCATGGAGAATAAATCGGCTGGAGCTAGGTTAGCTAATTCAAATAAAATACGCAATGATATTTTGTTGGTAGTTGAATTGTTTCGATGGTGTGATTAAAAGTAGTAAAATCACGTGCTTATATGCGTATAGCGTGTAGCGGGACTACATGCCATTTTAAATTAAAGTGTCGGCAGGCATGATTTGAAAGGGTTTTGATAAGGCGTATCATCATGTTAAATAATTTTCATTTTGAAAATTTATGTACTTTATAGTTATACATTGTTGTTTTTTCTTGTATTTTTTTTTCACACATAGGATTCAGTTAGCTTGTTCTTGGGATATGGATACCGATAATGTTGCATATGTGACTTTTCAAAATGTATGTATTTTTCCTTTCTTGTATTATACTTGTAAATTTTTTTCTTTTTTGAATGACATCAATAAAAAAAACTTGTAGGACTCAATCATATGCTCAATTATGGCTTTTGGTGTGTATTTTTATTAAATTGTCAGCATTTATGTGAAGGTGATACTATCGATACAATAGTAGTATATATCAACTTGAGAAATTTAGCATAGATTATCTCATTACTTTATATAATTCATTATTTTATATCATGTTATTTTATTTAATTAACTTTTTATATCATAAAAGCATATCAAATGTGCATCAGAATCTTGGGGTAAATATCATATTATGAATGAGATCCTTTGATTATCGTTGTAAATTGATTATCGTCAATATTCGAGCTAGCCAAAAGTTTGATTGCCAATGTCGATATGTACAATAATAAGCAAATTTTCGTTATCTAACCAGTCATAATATCTAACCAACCATATTACCTAACCATATAATCTAACCATCTATATTATCTATACGCGTATATCGATATTGCCTAACCAATCATATCGATACTAACTAAGCCTAAAATTTATTACGTAAATATTCTGCAAAGAATCTTATTTAAAGTATATAATCACCCTTTCCATTTTTCCACATTGACTTTCGGATTTTGCCTGATTCCAATCATTTTCATTTCTCAATTTATCCCAATATCCGCGGCTATTTCTAAACCATGTTTTTTTCCATCTTTTATTCTGGAATCTTCTCGAAATGAACAATCGGAGCTGATAGAATGACCCATTAATCGGATAAAAAACGGCTCGTTTTTCTGTTGCAAAAACACATGTGATATATATCTTTTATCATAAAAAAATATATATATATTTATAAATTATCTTATTACGAAATTCCTTATGTCGATATTAAATAAATGTGTTACGTACCTCCGTTAATATTAGTTCTGAAGATACCATAATGGATGTACCATTTAATTGTTTTATAACCTGACTACATGTACCATCTTTACGACCAACTATTGCTTGAGGTGTTTGTCGAAATTTATGAAACATACCAATTTGTTGCTTCTATTATTTAATTATAAATCAATTATAACCAAATTTTTAAAACTCAAAGAAAAATTATAAATTTACAAATAATAATACTAATATAATAAATAATCTTTGAAGTTTTACCGTTAATTTGTTCCATTTCATCCGATTTAATCTGTTGATTTCACTTTTCACGTTATTAGCGTAGAAATAATCTACTGGATAAAACGGTTTTAGACAAAATGATACTGCTTCGTCAAAATAACCATCTGTTGGATCATTATATAACAAAATGCGTTTTAACATCCATGGATGATCTATTTCACGGTAATAGTACTACCATCAAATAATAATATATGAAGATTTTACATAATATATTAGCGTTAGAATTGTAAAATTAAAAAAAAATAAACATATGTAAAATTATTTTTATACATATCTATACATCTATATAGATATATACATATACCTTTCTTTCAAAATGATATCTAAATGTTAAAACCAATTTTCCAAAATTGATAGTTTCAACTCTACAAATTTCTTCAGATGGAATAATAACTTCATATTTCATATTATTAAAACAAATAGAAATATATGTAGGTTCATTCGGATCAAAAAATAATGACAATTGATTTATTTGATTTGTATTCAGAGTATAATGAGCTTTGGTAAATCCATAAATAGATATTTGTCGTAATTGCGCTTGAATTGTGTTGTAGAAACTATGTTTGCATTCGGATGGTAAGATGGTCTTTGATAATAATGTTTCTTGAAAAAATTGTCCCGAGAAAAAGGATAAAAAATTAAATTTTAATTGTTAGAAATTACAAGAACAATAAATTTGTTGTAGGTGCAGTAGTAATGTTTAAATAACAATTATTTACTTGAACGTCTGTGAGTTGATGCGTTAACTACCCATCCTGCCTTATTTTCAGTGTTATTAGTACTTTGGTGGTATTTCATAATCAATATCTGATTTATTTGAATTATGGTATAATTTTCTTGAGAATTTTCAAAAGAAATTTCGAAAGTAAAATTCATGGTTTTTATATCTGCTTATTTCTCTCTGTTATTAAAATGACGTGTAATATTTTTATTTTTAATTGTCGAATCTAATGCTACGTATAAAAATACGTGATTAAGTATAATATTCATGAAATATGTGATAAAATACGTCAGATTAATTTTCTGATATCAATATACCTGGGTTAATGTCACTAAACCGTTACTTAATATATATTAATATTATTGATTCAATCATGTAATTATAGCTTGTCGGGTGACTTCAACTTGAGTGAAAATAAAATTCTTATACTAGCACAATAACATGAAATGAAGAAGAGTGGTTCATTTTAAGTTTGCTGGTTTTGTGAATTTTTTTTAGTAAATTAATTTTTTGTATTTAAATAAAAAGATTTTCTAAGTTTTAGTACATGTTATAATTTATTTTAATTTAATTATAATTTTAAATATTAATTTATATATAGTAACTCTTTATATAATGAATTATTTGAACAATTAGAAAGAATTTAAATAGTAATTCATAAAAATTTAGAATATTATTATTTTTTAAACCATCTAATAGGCAAATTTGTCTACTTAAGTTTTTTTAATCGGTTTTTTTTAAAAATTACTAAAAATTTTATTAAAAATAAGTATTTCTATTATTAAGTTAAATTAAAATTTTAGTATATTGTTGATTTTTTTTGTTTAGTAGTCTTGTTATTAACTCTTATTTGGTTTTTTTTTGCATTGCTAAAAGAATTTTTTATTCTAAATTTTGAACATAATATTTTGTAGTTATTTTTATAAATCTTTATAATTAATTTGTTATGCAAATAAAAAAAAAAAACTCTTTCCGTAAATCCTTTTTACACAAAAATAACTAAAAATCCGTCAGTACTAAAATCGTTAATACCTGGTTATTTTATTAAGATAACCAACCTTGGTGTCTTAAGTAAACTTGCTCAGCTCCTAATTTTACATATACTCTGAAAGTTTCAAGTCTATAACTTTCGAACTCGCAGTTTAATACTGCCAA